CTGTTTTTTGTGCACCAAGTAAAATTAAATAACAGTTACAACAGATTATTATTATTATTTTTTTTATCTAAGAAACAGGCCATCTTTATAGCTAAGGATGTAGATGTGACACGATTTGTAGACTATATTCACAAGATAACCAAACATGTAAAATCACAGATGATTAGACTACATACAGGACTACATTTATCTCCTACTCAACAGTATGTTTAGAAGAGTCTTATTTTTTCTTCAACCATTTTCCATATTATAGGTCAGTGGAAGAGGTGTTTGTGGAGAGAAGTGGTCAGCAGCCAGAGAGACCTCCCAAAGATCTGCCAGCAATGTAGATGAGGAGGGATTAGAGCTTGTGGTGTTTTTCGGCACTGTGTGCTTTAAATACTGTAGGGGGAAATTTTTGCATATCCCCTGTACCTACACAAAAAAGCTGGCCAGTAGGCAAATCACATTTTTTGTATGTATGTGACCTGCAAATATTGGCCCTACCTCCAAAGAGTTGCAAAAAACTGCCCAGATCTCCTGTACCTTCTTAACATGAGGCCCTTCCTTTCAGTATTCCATGCCAAAGCCCATGATTAAATGCGAGGTAGGTGAACTTTGCTTTGTGAATATCAAATTCGGGCATATGCAAATGAATGTAAAAACTTTCTTAGCATTATTTACATTATTTTTTCATTACTACTAATCAGGTGAAATAGAGTGGGACGTATCAGGACAGGGCTGGTTTAACACTAGGGGAGGAGGTGGAACAGTGCAATGCTTTTCTCTCTAGGAATGCAGTGACCATAAAAGATGTCCAAAGTAGGTAAAATGACCACATATTTTACTTCACTAGTTTCATCATAACATATTAAGTAGGGGGAATATAGTAACATTACTTTCTGTGTTTGCAGGATACACAGACATGCTGACTTTCATGGCCATGCACTGGAATCAGCAAAAGTTCAACAATTTGGCCACCGCATTAACCCATCGATATCAGAAAGTAATGAAATCAGTAGAATTTATTTTAGATGTTCAGTAATGTTTGTTATTTGTGTTTTGAATCTTTACATTAAACAGTTTGTTCTTGTTTTTGTCCTATCTGTTATAACCTGCCATTGCAGACCACGAAAGCTCTACAAAGCCAGGTGCAAAACCTAGAATCTATGAAAGTCGAACTGGCAGTGACAGAGAGCCAGTTAGAAGACTGGGTCAATGATGTAAAGGAGTGGGCAGACGGTGAGGCTAGTATTTATATATTTCCAGTAATACATTTAGTTGTGAATAATTGTAATTGATAAATTGTTACTGTTATAGTAATTTCGTCCTATTTCTTTTTAACAACAAAAACCACAAATGATGTTAATGTTTTGGCCAGCCAAATTGAGGTGCTGGTGGCAAGTATCAAAAGATGTTCTCAGCGTCTCTATAAAGATACAGATGGGGAAAAAAGTCGTGCCACAATCCGCCACAAGATCAGGGAGGAAAAGGGGATTCTGACATTAGTTGTAGAGAAATACAACAGAATGGTTCCAAACACAGACACTCTGTGCTTGGAAACCATTTTGTCTGGTGAGACAGCTTGGCCATGGCAGCTGCCCTGTCTCATTTTCCATCCAGCTTGTACCTACTTCTGCAAAGTGTTAGTTTGTGTTAAAGCATATCACACTAGAAAATAAATTCAGTTAGCTCCTTACAAAGCTACATGTATTTAAAAGAAAGGTAAAGGAGAGTCAAAAGTAAAATAAATAAATAAATAAATAAATAAATAAATAAATAAATAAATTCATGTTAAGTTTGCATTTATGATAATTTACCTGTTATGACAAAGAACTGTTTGTAAATGCAAAATACAAATAATAAAGCGTAGCCAAATGGTCTGATAGTCCAAGATCTACAGGAATAAGCAATGAGGTAAATGCACACTTAGTGTTTATTAAGTCTAGAGTGTGACCATTATTATGAGTAGGGAAGTCCATCAGCTGTCTCAAGTCCTTTAATATCCTAGAGTTTTTGTCTATCTGGATGTTAAATACCCCAAGACAAGAGTTTTTTTTTGTATTTGTATTTGAGAGACAACATCGACAGTAGGCCAGCAATAACAATAACAGAGGATATGGGATAAGAAACTCTCAAAGCCAAACATTCAAAGTAATGAAACTTGGGGGTGACCACTGAAAATTTCTAAAAGTTTATTAAATACTACAATAATACAACGCTCTCTGCCAGAGAGTCTAGGAGAGTCAAATAAACCAAATCCTGCTGGAGTCAGTTCATTAAATAAGAGCCCATCTAAATGCGATGGCAAGATTTCAGTCAAGCATATCCGATCTAGTTTTTTTCACTATAAAATCTGACAGGATGAGTGACTTACTGTTTTCGGAATGCACTTTAAAAGACTTGGAGTATCAAAGATGGATCAAAAAGGCAGCTTTGTGCAATTTTGGCACTGACAGATTATTCAGTTCAGCACCAACACATGTTAATCAGTGCATTTTATTGCTGAAATGATAGAACCAACCATTATTAGCTGTCTTGGTCGAGAAGCTGCTCTTGAATGAGCAATGAATGTAACGCAATGCTGGCAACGCTATTTAACGATCTGTATAAAACAGCCATGGCTTGTGGGCAGTAGTAAAGTCCAAGACTCTAAAAATTAATTAAAAACACCAATAACACCCGGACAAAGGAGTGGCAGCCAGATGTGCCAGCGTACCCGTTTAACTAGAACCATTTGGGAAAATCCAGCAAAGACAAAACTGAAAAACAAGTGAGATTTGTGAATGGAAAATATTAACTACCAGCACCTCAGCCCCTCCTGCACTTGAACTTTGGCTGTTGATGATAACATTGAATGAGAACACAAGGATGCAAAATTGCTTAATGATGCATACTGAAAAATGACTAGTCTCATGTATGGATCTGTTTGGACTCATCTATGGATCTCAGACTGATACAGTAAATAAGGGAAATTCATTTAATTACCTGTATTTATCATCATTGAAAAACTCATCTGCTTGTCTCCAGTCATGTCTGCTCATCATATACAGTCTATTGTTTAATAAAGGTGTCTTTTTGGTTTGAAGAAAAAACCAGTGGCACACCATTACAGTAACATGAGAAATAACTTACAAGTCTGCATATGAGTTATTAAAACATAAATTCACCTTGAAAAAAGTAGACATCATCTAATAGCACACTTAATTAATCTTCCAAATATGGTCTTTTAATCTTGCAAACATTGATAGTCCTGCTTAAACATAATTAGTATCTACATCGGCTTGCAATTGAACAAAGAATTAAGTGAATAATCTTAATTGCCAAGTATTATAGGCTATTAGGCTATTCATACAGAACTATCACATTTCAGTTATGTCTAAACAGGCTACTGTTAATGTCAGCATGCTTTTAAAAGCATAATTTTTTTTAGCAAAGATCAAAATAAAGTTAAACAGAAGCAACTGCATTATACTGTGACTGTGTGATATTGTCACATGTTAATAGAAGCAGTTAGATTTAGCCTACATAAGGTTCACAAAACAGCCCTTAATAACAAAACTTAACAATAAGGTCCCATTCTTCCTTCCATACAAGATTTCCACAAAATATTCTGTTTGAGAAGTTGGAAGCCCCTGTACAGTAGAGTAAATAGATAGTGTGACTGAAGGATGCGAGTTGTGTTAAATCCACCTCAAACAGACAGATTAAAGTATACAGATACCTTAAAGGGTCATGACACCCCCCACTTTCGGTTCAGGTCTACCTCAGAATTTTTTCAAAAAATGCATCACGATGGGTGTGGAGCTCCGCGAGCAAAGGGCAGGAGTGGACGTTGCCAGCAGGGGAGAAGGAGGGGAGTGAGCAACTGTTGTCAGCTAGCTCACAAGATGAGACACAAACCTCGAGGAGACCCATGATTTAATAGTTTACAAAGTTAAGTTAAAATGCAAAGAAATAAACAGTAATTTAATGCCCTGCTACAAATTTTATTCGTAATTTTATATACAGATAACCACAACTTATATTATTATAAATATAATAGTGTTTATATAGACACTATAAATAAGAACTTTTCCCTCAATCCCCGGGTCTGAATGCAGACTTAGTGCAGCAGGTCTCCAGCCCTGCTGGTAATCTGGAGGATTTAGGCAAACACAGCAGAACGGCGATGTCTAAATGTGAACAAACTCCTGATAAAAGACAACGTCTGCCATTCTCCAATTCTCGTACAGCTCTCCCGACAAAAATGCTTGCTGCACATAAACAACTTTGCTGTATCGGCCCTGACAGCATCGCGGGGAAAAACATGCAACAAACCCTGCGGATCATGGAAACAAACACATACGACCCTTCAGGAACAGCTAAGACATATTCACATACTGTGTGCCGTGGGTCCGTTTCTCATAGCTTGGCACTGGCAGGTCTGTCTTGCCTTCAAAAAGCACGTGCTCTCATGAATAATTAGGAAGCAGGCTCTTCTCATAGGATAAGAAAACTCCGCTATGAATATTAATGAGAATTTCAGATTTTTCTCCGATTTTGATCCCGCCCCTAAAATCATTTTAAACCCATAAACTGAAATTAACTGACAAAAGCTAAAAATTATCCAGTCTTTCCCCACAATTAAAGCTAACAGGTGCTAACATTGTTTTAACTGATGCTCAACAAACACAATTCTGTTAAAATCTCAAAAAAGTACTCGAGGGTTTTGTAAACCTTTAAAGTATAAGGTTAGTTTAGATTTGGCGGTCTGTAAAATTTCCCCAGATGTGGGAGTGGGTAATGATGACTTTAGAAAAGGAGGTGACTAAACGTGACATCTGCGTGGTAACCAATAATTACATTAATTTGATTTAATAGATGATGAACTGGGCATGGTTCGGTTGGCTGGCCTTGGCCAGGTTGGAAGAGGTGGTCCAGAGAGTGGTTCAGTTGGTCTGTGGCACAGTACACTTGTAGTGTGAGTGCAAAGAGCACCTGAGCGCAAAACTGAAGATTTGACATCACTTTTAAGCAACTGTTTTATATGGATTTATTACTCATTCGTACTTTTTAGTGAATGGAGACTATCGTAATTTACCAAAGATGCATACCCCTTATTGTATTCCACCTTTAGCAAACCTCCTAATGCATGCAGCAAATTGACATTTATGAAAATGTAGGAGTGTCAAAAGCTCTGGATCTGTTCAGCAAAATATTTGCCTGTCACTGCATTCCAAATGACTCAAAATAGTGCATCATAACTTAAGCAATCCAGTACAAAAATGCAGTGTAAATGTGGGCCATCAGGGGAGAGGGAAGGGGGGTGGCAATCGGTTCAAGGCAGCTGTGCCTAGTGTGAATACACCCTGAAGTAGAAATTTTAGGGTCTTTAAGTAATAATTCCTAGACAAATATACTACCACAAGATTACCGATAGATGATCTCAACAATACTTGTGCTAAGAAAATAACAAATATGTGTGTTGCTGCTAACCTAAAGTTGTTATTAAAGCCACATCCCTTCACAAGCTTAAAAAACATATTACGTGCCAGTTCAGTATCAAAATATTACATGGCAAAAATGGAAGAAGCAGAATATATTGTCTTTCATTTTCTTCTTTGTCCTTGTGTAAGGCATGCATCTTTAGTAAAAATCCAAATCTTTAGATCATTCTGCTGCATTGCTGCCTACTTTCACACTCATGATAAAAACATTAATGAAGTAATTAGGACAGAGTGGTATGGTGTTAAAACTTCATGAACTCATGAAACCTCATGTTTTCCTCCGGGTTCCACTGAGAAGCTCTTTTTGGGTTCCCTCGGCCTTACCACAGGAGCTTTTGGTATGACAGAGGTCTGCCTGTGTCCTTCTGCTATCAGGGGTGGACGAGTAGGTACTGGCCCAGACTGGGTAAAAGGTTTAGATTTAGGAGTTGTTTGAGGGGTAGAACTCGAGGGCCCCAGGGCCCCATCTGCAACTTGCTCAGATCCTTCTTTCATGGAAATAGGCTCTCTTGAAGAATTTGTGGTGTTTTCTTTCTGTATGCTGCTCTGGCATGAGGTCTTATCTGTGTTAGGCATCTCGCAGCTATCAGTCCGTCGTCGTGAACCCTCATGCATGCGGCTTGTAGCAACTACAGCTTTCATAGCAGCCTGTACACAGAATAATCCATAATAAATGTACATTCTTTTTATATTAATGTGTACTGTGGTTCTGATTGTACAAAATCATATTATTCAATTAATACATTTACTGATTGATGTATTAAAAATAAAATTCATGCACACAATTAATTGAAGGAACTGCATGGCTGTAAGCTTTATAAATTAAGTCATTTTTTAGGAGATGTTTCATTCACTTATTTTCTTTTCGACTTAGTCCTTTTATTACTCTGGGGTCACCACAGTGGAATGAACCGCCAACTTATCCAGCACATTTTTACACAGCGGATGCCCTTTCAGTCGCAACCCATCTCTGGGAAACATCTACACACACTCATACACTACGGACAATTTAGCCTACCCAATTCACCTGTACCGCATGTCTTTGGACTGTTTGGAAAACCGGAGCACCCGGGGGACACCCACGCAAATGCAGAGATAAAATGCAAACTCCACATAGAGAAACGCCAACTGAGCAAGCCGAGGCTCGAACCAGCAACCTTCTTGCTGTGAGAAGACAACATTACCTACTGCGCCACCATGTTGAAGACAATTTGAGGCAAAAATTACATGTGGTGCCTTCCAGTCTAAAATATCAGTATTATACAATTGTCTTGAAGACAAAAAGACAAAAGCCTAAGCGAGTCTAGGGAACAAACAAAAGCAACTTTTTTGGATTAAATACAATTGTTCATTATTATAATTTAATATTTAGTATTTTTATTAGAATATAAATAAATACTAATTTAAAACAAAAATACATTTTGACTTAAGATTTAACAATAGAATTAATTTATTAAATGACTATATTTGACATTGCCAAAACATAGAAGGGGAAAAATAAATACTAATTTCAAACAAAAATACATTTTGACTTAAGATTTAACAATATAATTAATTTATTGAATGACTATATTTGACATTGCCAAAACATGGAAGGGGATTGGTGGCTGACCTTTAATTTGCGCCTTGCATTAAATTCCTGTAGTTTTCTCTGTGTTGTGTCCATGTGGGAGAATCGTGCTGCTTTTCCAAGAACCCATGGATGCTCAAGAGCTTGCTTCACTGTGAGACGTTTATGAGGATCTAAGACTATGAGCTTATTAACCTATAATCAAAGGGGATAAAAACCAACCAACAGCTATTGGTGAATAAACAAAAAGAGAGAAAGCTCAGATATGAAAGCTCTAACTGAAAAATTAAGTTAGCATTTGATTTGACTGTTGAAGTTTTTATAGTTTTGATGTTCATTTAAAAATCTGCAGTGCATGAACATCAACAGAAATGCAATCAGAGCTATAGTTCAAGCTACTTACCAGGTCCTTTGCATTGAGAGAGACTTCATCCCACCAGGGGGAGACAAACTCATAATCACAGTTTAGAATGCGGCTGTACATATATTGGTCCCCCCTTTGATCAAAAAATGGTTCAAACCCACATAGCCTGAGGATGAAGACAGACAAGACAGCACAGATTAATACTGGAAACACATATAACATATAAAAAGTTACAGGTGCAGTAGGTGATCTGGGGAAATGATAAATACAATATAAAATTTAACAATATAACATTGAGAACGCACATTCTGAGGTCATGAACCCGCACCAAATAGATGACCATACACAACCTTATAATCATGTCATTCACCAGTTAAAAATATTGTACCTTATAATACCGTAATTCCAAACCTTTTTTTTAATCTTATATCTAGCACATACAGTGTTAAGTTGTGTAGCAAATATTTCACAAATGATGTTTAACAGAGAAAGGAAATTTTCATGTCTGATAATATTATTTTCTTCTGGAGAAAGTCTTATTTGTTTTATTTCGACTAGAACAAAATCAGTTTTAAATTTTTTAAACACCGTTTACAGACAAAATTATTAGCCTCTTTAAGCTAATTCTTTTTTCGATAGTCTATAGAACAAACTATCATACAATAACTTATACAATACAATAACAATAACTATACAATAACTTGTCTAATTACCCTAACCTGCCTAAGTAACCTAATTAACCTAGTTAAGCCTTTAAATGTCACTTTAAGCTTTTCTAATCACCTTCAGTGGTCACCACAGCGGAATGAATCACCAACTTATTCAGCATATGTTTTACACAAAGGATGAAACTCAGTTCTGGGAAACATCCATACACACTCAGTCACACACATACAGCCAATTTACTGTAGGTTATTCAATTCACCTATACCGCATATCTTTGGACTGTGGGGGAAACCGGATCACCTGAAGGAAACTCACATAAACACGGGGAGAACATGCAAAACTCTACACAAAAATGCCAAATGACCAGCTGGGACTCAAACCAGCGACCTTCTTGCTGTGAGGCAACAGCATCAATCACTGAGCCATTGTGTCACCCAAGCTGTATCTATTTAATTCAAAATAGAGCAAAAACAGCCGTTTTTTTTTTGTTTGTTTTCTTGTTAAGCCCTGTAGTAGAAATGCATTTATTTTATGCTATGTGTACTAAAAATACATTAAACTGTTGATGTACTAAATAAAAATATGGCATAGTTGTACTTATTTTTAAGGAAATTTTATTGCAAGTGTAACTATTTTTTTATTTGGACTTAAGGCTTATTCGTTAACATGGAGGTGGGGTTATTACTTGTTTTAAAATATTTCCCAAATTATGTTTAACAGAGCAAGGAAATGTCTGATAATATTTTTTCCTGGAGAAAGTCTTATTTGTTTTTATTTTGACAAGAATAAAAGCAGTTTTTAATTTCTTAAAACCCATTTTAAGGTCAAAATGATTAGCACCTTTAAGCTAATTATCGGTTGTCTACAGAACAAACTTAACTTTTCTAATTATCCTGACAAACCTATTTAAGCCTTTAAATGTCACTTTAGCTGTTTAGAAGTGTGTTGAAAAATATCTAGAATAGAAAAATATTATTTACGGTCATTATGGCAAAATTAAATAAATCAGTTATTAGAAATTAGTTATTAAAACTATAATGTTTAGAAATGTGTTGAAAAAATCTTCTCTCCGTTAAACAGAAATTGAGAAAAAATAATAATAAAGGGGGCAAATAATTCAGGGGGCTAATAATTCTGACTTCAACTGTATATCTATCCCACATTCATGTTTATACCATGTACTTATAAATCAAAGTTTTTTACTTTTTTTTACGCTTTTTAAATATTATATGGAGGTGGCACATTGACTCTGTGGTTGGCACTGTCATCTTACAGCAAGTAGGTCCCTGATTCGCTGAGCCAGTTGGCATTTCTGTGTGGAACTTTCATGTTCTCCCGTGTTTGTATGGGTTTCCTCCTTCCTGTGTGATTACAGATCACCAAAAACCTATCAGGCCTTGCCAAGGAGACCACCTCGTGGCTAACATCTGTCAGTCTTAGGGTGCTTTCACACCTGTGAATCGATTCAGTTGTTCCGAAACAGAGATTACAATTGTTACATTGTTGCTCTTTGCTCTTGGAGCGATTCGCTTTCACATTGCAAAGTTTCTAATCGGACCAAAAGAGCTAAAACAAGTCATGTGTGAGTAAACTCTCCTTACATTAGTCAGTGTCAGGGTTTATTTTGCAGCATCCCGCTCAGCTGTCAGGAGAGTTGGTGGTTTGGTGGTGATTGACAGGGTGTGCGCGCTCAACGTGTCTGAGGAGAGATGCGGCGGGGAGGGGTGAGAAGGGTGCGCGACGATGCCTATTTGAGGACTCATAATTCTCTCTTCATATAGCCGTAAGCCTATTACATATCCATAAAACACAGTGATATAACCGCGCTTGGATCGGATCGCTTTCTCACTGCAATCGAACCGCTCCAGGGTTCCCCTTCGGGGGGAACCCCAGCACTATAAGTGGATTTGATTGTAAAATCCACGCATTGGGAGGTTCGGTTCAGAAGCTACTCGTCTGAAAGAGTATTGAACGGGCCAATTAAGAATGAATTGGCAGCGCAAGCCTGCGCAGGTGAGCGGCATAAGCAATCAACTGAGTATATAAGCTCACCTGGCGCCAGCAGACGCTATCCTTTTCACTTCAGAGACTTTTCTGATCGAGCTTCATGAGGGTTCCTCCTGCTGTCTACAGCCACTTCGAGCGAACGAGTGTCTCCCGGTCCAGAGCGAGTCCACGCAGCGGCAGATGGTCGAGCTGGGTTTCTCCCTTGCCTGGCGTCCCTTTGGGTCCGGTCCTCCAGAGCGGTGCGTATTGTTGCAAAGCATCCTAAAAGAGCAACACAGTCGTGCAGCACGTCCTTTTCAGGACGGCGCTCCGACTGTGCGTTTCTGGTTGCGGGGGTTTCCTGGCTCCGGATGATGGGCACGATCACTGCATTACATGTTTGGGGGTCCAGCATGTTAATGTGGTGCTCGGGGGCGGTTCATGTCGTCACTACGATGCCATGACCGTCGCGCAGTTGAGATCGCGGCAAACTCTCGTGAGAGAGCGAGCCACCCCAGTCGCCTCCTGTTCTGCAGCGGGCGCTCGGGCAGATCTGAGGGTTCCAGCGAGAGATAATCCGCCGCCTAAGGGCTCGCGGACCTCTCGCTCCTCCAAGCGCTCCATCCAAGCTTCGGGCGCTGGGAGTGATCCGTCTAATCAGATGGTAGCTCTCACGCTCGCTGTCACCGGAGATCAGATGTCCTCCGCGGCATCGGAGGGTGGGCTTTCATTGTACGACGATGATCCGGACCCGCTGTCACCTGTCAAACAGGTGAGCGCTGTCAAAACGGATACTGAAACGGACGTGTTAGCCGTGCTTTCCCGGGCTGCTTCGGCCGTGGGTTGGAGATGGTTTATCCCCCAGCTCCGCGGCCGGACCGACTAGAGGGGCGTTCCCTTCTTCCCGGCGACGCACAGTAGGCTCACGCGGTCTTAAAGAGCACCTTTTTTCTGCTCGTGCTGCGTGTCCCTCCACCCTTACCACTCTTGGTGGTGGAGCAGCCAGGGGGTATGTGGCGATTCCTCAGGTTGAGTGTGCGATGGCGGTTAATCCGCGCAGCGCCTCTTCTTGGCGGGGTCTGCTTCGTCTCCCATCCAAAGCCTGTGAGTTTTCGGCTCCCTCGGAGCTAGAGCTTACAAAGCTACGGACCAGGCTGCATCCGCCTTGCATGCGATAGCCACTGTCCAGCGCAACCAAGCGCAGGCGCTGGCCGAGCTGCACGAGGGTGGGTCCAACCCAGGCTTATGAGCTTCGCACCGCAGCCGACTAAGCTCTTCGGACTACTAAGTCCGCTGCGTGTGCTCTGGGGAGGACAATGTCCACACTAGTGGTCCAGAAGCCCCACCTCTAACAAAACTTGGTTGATATGCGCGAAGTTGACAAAGTCCGCTTTCTTGACTCGCCCATATCCCAAGCTGGTCGGCGACACAGTCTGCGAATTCACCCAGGAATTCGAGGCAGTGAGAGAGCAGTCCGATGGGTGATGTCTAATCGGCGGCCCCGTAAGCCCGCTCCGCCTGCCGTGCCATCCATACCTGCTCCTCGCCGAAGGCGCCCGCCTACGAGAGCTGCACCGCCCCCGCACTCGCCTCTGGCGAAGCGAGCGCGTCGAGCACCTCGGAAGCAGGCCACTCCCCCTGCCCAGAACGCCGCTAAGTCTGGCAAACGGACCGCGAAGCGTCCCTGGGACAGGTCATCTGGAGAGGAGGGAACTTGCTCTTTCCCCGCTGGAGGGCGGGGCGCCATTTCCAACGGCACTTTTTACTGCCATGAAATGAAAGGGCACTTTTCCACTTCTCCGGAGGTGACAGCCCGAAATCTGCCAGTTTGAGCTCAGCTCTCTAGCTCGTAGGTTCGGTGCACTCCGCCAGTGGCTCACGGGCACTGCAGGCCCTGCCAGCCTGGGACGCGCCGCCTCTCAGCTCGCAAGGTCTGCATGCTCCGCCAGCGGCTCACGGGCGCTGGGGGGACGGTCTCCCTTCTCCCAGCCCCCAAGCCCCCCCTCCGGAGTCAGGGTGAATCGCGAATCGCTCTCCTCCAGCTCTTCTGTGGGACCCTTGCGCTCCCCGGATCAGCACACCCGCTCCGCGCAGGAGTCAGGGTGCGGAGCCAGAGCGAAACGCTCTCCTCCAGCTCTTCTGTGGGACCCTCGCGCTCCCCGGATCAGCACACCCGCTCTTCGCTGCCCCTCCGCGGGTACGTCAACGATTGCTGCGATGACGTCATTAGCGAGGGCTCTGCCTGCCTGGTTAGCGCGGGCCAGCCCCTCGCGGTGGCTCATACGCACGATCAGACTCGGCTACGAACTACAGTTCTCCAAACGGCCTCCCAGGTTACGGGCGTGTATTTCACCAGGGTCAATCCCCTGTCCGCCCCTGTCTTGCGAGAGGAGATTGTGGCCCTCCTGGCGAAGGGTGCAATCGAGCCGGTACCTCCAGCCGAGATGGAGAGCGGGTTTTACAGCCCGTACTTCATCGTACCCAAAAAGAGCGGTGGGTCACGGCCAATCCTAG